CTTGCGTACAACATTGGTCAACGGATTGTAGTGAACCACGCGATCATGTATAATGAGACAGTACGCGGTAGTATTCATCGGTACGTTCTCTTTAGTCTCAAATTCCAATCTCACGTCCACAGTTGCGCTCTTGACCGATTCGTTTTGTCGAGAACAATCGATGATTATGAATGGACCAATATGTAGAAAAGACGAGACTCGGCTCGAGATATTTGTATCCGTAGTAACCCTTACAGAAACACGCGTACATTTCATACAATACGGACCATCTGTTTTTGTCAAAATCAAGATTCATATCGTCGTACGGATAACATTCCGAGTTCAGATAGAGTTTCACGTTGGTCAAGTTGCAGTCGTCGAATCGGCTCGTGTCCTCAGCCATGACATTTTTGCGACCTGCTTGCAGAGCGAAGATGACGTATCACGACTTCTCGAGCTGAGTAGCGGTCTTGATGGCCCACGAATGCTTGGTTGTACGCTGTAACAGCGGAAATTCGTACAGATCCCACGAGCAAAAAGCCATGCTCAAGTATCGTCCGCTCTCCAAAGTGCGCAGCATCGATAGTTTTTTTATCTCGCTCAATAACACGTGCGGCATTCGCCATTGTATCTTGAATAAGTCGACCACGGGATCCAACGTCGAATTTCCCATCAGGCAATTGTTGTCGTTACGCGATCGTATCAAGATCAATTCGTGACGAGCGCGTTGATTACCACGCGTCTGTAATCCTCGCAGAATCCCAACAGTGCGTAGAGAGGTATGCAAAAGTTAAAATATCCATCCGCGTTAGTACGCGCATCCCAGCCGGCATTCCTCAGAATCACGCTTCTGTCGGATGATGTCGTTACGTAATGTTTGAGCGTGCTGGTTATACCCATGTTTCTGTTACGATCAATCTCCACACCATCAAGCTCGTATCGAATCTCATCGAACAGGAACGCGACAAAATTATTTCCCAACACCACATCAGATCCTTCGACAACTCTGTTCTTCGTTAGTTTTTCCTCGATATATAGAAAGCTTTCGTGCAATGTGTACAGATCCTGTTGCTGTATGGGTATTCTTATCTCATCGCTGTACCCGAACGTCATATTGGCGAACGGGTTATACGCATGAGTCTCAATCTTGACGATGCGATCGTCAAAGATTGGCTCGTCTTCGATGTTTAGGATATCAATCATTTCACAAGTTGCGCATCGCGAATCCTAAAGCTTGTAAAAATTTAACGTTCGACGCGTTAAGTTTCTTCCTCTTCGTGACGCAGCCGGATAAGCGAATATTGTCGATCGATGTTTTCTTTGTAAAAGATGCGTTATCTCTCTGTGTATGCTTCGCTTCGTTCAACACGAGCATCTCAAATGTCACGCTCGCGTTATCGCTGTCGCCGTCATACGTGCAATCTGACGGTGATCTCTTCTCCTCTGAAATCGAGCAATCGTTCGTTCTGGTCAACAATGCGTATCGTTAGCTCCGTAATGCTCCGTACGATGACTGGCAGGTAAATGATGCATCGGCCTTTCCGATATCTTATATCCTGGCACGCTCGGCGAAAATTCGTGTATCGTGTGCACACTTTTGTCGTTGCTGTATGCGCCCGCGGTCACGTTTCACTCTACACGGATAATGTTTACGTTCATTATGTTGATCGACACGTCCGATTCGTGCCACCTTCGCGGTTGCAGTATACGCCTCGAGAAACCCAGCAGTGATCCAATGTTATGGGGCTTGTTAAAGTTTATTCTGTAGACGCATTTAATTTCACACCTCATCGTGTTGTAATTTGCGCGGAGCACTATCGGGTATTCTCCAATCTCGTCATCGCCGCGCGCGGTATCACCAGCGTTACCCTCGGGCGCGTCGCGTCGCGGACGTTTCCGTAAAATCTCACGTTTCAAAAATTCATTTATGGCATGCAGTTCATACGACCCCTCGGAAATCGTAATTTCTGCGTCGTCTTTGCCAAAATAAAATGTATTGTTCGAAGCGTTTACATTCGGTATCATGTGATAAGTCTCTAAAATTGTTAGACCAGGCTCGTAGTCATCA